CCACTGCAGATAGTGCTAGGAGCCACTCATTGCTCTGAGCAGCCACCAAACGAAGAGGACAATGATGTCCTTTTTTTTTAGGGGCTTCTCAGTTCAATGTTGGGTTCCAACGGCTTTGGATTGGTGCACTGGTGCACTGGATATCACCGTTGTTCCCCACTGCTAGCACTATCGTTTCGACACTACATACTCTAGGTGTATTTGGTCGTACCTAAATAGTCCTAGTGAACTGCCCATGCCAACCAGATTGCGGACAGCTGAGGCGGTGGCTGGGAGTCGAGGAAGACTCCTCGTCACGTCAGCAATGGGACCAACCCCGCTTCCAAATAAATTTCCCAACAACGGCCAACTTTCTGAACTTCCCGATCAGGATAAAAACTGGCAAAAGATAGACCAACCACTCAAGGATGACCCACTACAGCACATAACATTCCTGTCACTGCAAGACAATACTGTAAGGCTTGTAATCCTTTGTTGCGTTCAAGACCAGAGCAGCCTCAGATCTCGATGAAAACAACTCATCAGCACATAATTTTCAATCTACCGGTACGCTAGCTAGCTATTTAATAGAGGCAAGAGATACCGGTATACAACAAACAAACGGAGGCACAATGACCGACACCACATCTTCATCGGCTGACATGCACGCCGAAAGCGGCAACAGCAGTATCGAGGACACGCAAGGCGCCGATCCGATTTTGACCAGCTTTTCCAAGGATGAAGAATCCGACCTGGAAGCAGCACCACTACTTCACAATGACGACAACAAAAAAATGGCAGCCTTGAACATCAATTGTGAATCAGATGATGACGCTCTCAAAGATCCTCTAAAATCCACCGCTAACAAAGGCAACCTTGGCATTTTTACAAAGTTGATGGCCTCCAAGAGCAATCTCAAATCAGTCCTACTCGTCTTATTGGTAATTCAAGGATCTTCTGCCGTTCTTGTTGGACGCTATACTCGATCATCCGTTCCAGAAGAAGACCTTTATGATATTGGACATTTGGTTCTGGTCATTGAATGTTTCAAATTCGTACTTTCGCTCATTGCAGAATTCCTTTCTACCAATGGAAACCTCCGAGAGTCCATAGAAGAGCACATTTGGAAAAGACCAGTTGATTCCCTCAAAGTGCTTGTTCCGGCTGTGCTTTATGTGCTACAGAATGGTCTAATTTACATTGCCTTGAGCAACCTACCGGCTCCTGTCTTTATCTCACTGCAACAGGGAAAGCTCATTTGCACCGCCATTGTCTCGGTGACCATGTTGCGGCGAACCTACTCGGTCAAACAATGGTGTTGCCTTTTTGTCTTGGCTGTGGGAGTAGCTATTGTTGCAGTGAATGAAAAGAAAGGAGTAGTACAACAATCTATTACTGAAGAACACATTGATGAAACCACCGAGGTGGATATTACACAGTCGGAACCAATGCAGTTCTTCTTGGTTGGAATCTTGGCTGTTTCTGGAGCGTCTTTTACCAGTGCTTTTGCAGGGGTGTACTTTGAAAAAGTACTGGCACCAGAGAAAGCTGCCCCGAAAAGTAGCACCCCTAGACGCGCAGTCAGCATTACACCTCAAAGGAATGGCACAACCAGTAGCCCTAGACGCGCATTCAGCAATTCAAGTCAAAAGAATGGCACAACCAGTCCTGTGAGAAACAGCACTTTACAACCAGAGACAGCAGCAAAGGCCAACCCTGGCCTGTGGATCCGAAATTTGCAGCTGGCATTCTTCAGCATCCTTTTCTGCTTGCTCCGTGAGATCTGGAGCGAAGTGAGCAAACGTGTGAATGAAAAATATCATGCTCAGGACGACGATACAATTTATTGGTACAGCGCGCCCAATGCCGTCGATGAAGAAAAACGGCCATACCTCCATGGCTTTACTTTTTGGGTCTGGTAAGTGGGCTCCAAAACAGAATCCAAAGGGTATGCCGTTCCAACTTCGTCAACTGACCAACTTGCCCTTCGTTGCTCTAGGGTACTAGTGTTGTTGCAGGCAGGTGGAGGGCTGTTAGTGGCGGCAGGTAAGAAGGAATTTTGTGTCACTACACAATGACAAGGACCGCAAGCCGCTCACATACTGCATTTTCCCTGCATCGCTCAGTTATGAAATATGCTGACAATGTACTGAAAGGACTAGCTATGGGGATTGGTGTGGTGGTTGCGTCTGTAGTATCTACTGTATTGTTCAAAGTGCACTTGTCATCGCAGTTTGTGCTTGGAGCATTCATCATTTGCGGTTCAGTTTACCTGTTTTCAAACGATCCTCCATGCCTTCGTAGCAATACTAAATCAGAGCCAAAATGATCGAATCAATCCCACAGCAACAATCTTCCGTCAATATTGGCATATAAACACCCATACATGTACTGGCATCAGATCAGCATTTGAAAACCCTAATGATGGTCTTTTCAACCAGGAAACTCAGGGCGGTGTCTGCCACCATCAGAATGCACATGAAGGTTGGGAACTCGACCATCTGCAAAACACCTAACAACGGTTCGTTCATCATGGCCAACATGAAATCAGCCTCTTTGGACTCAAAGTCTCTTTCAACGGTAGTGTCTGGGAATGAAGAAAGCTGCAGCAAGTCATTCAGAGGTGGGAACGCTTCGAATGAACACAGCAGTAGAGAGATGTAGCATGCCAATAAGCTTCTCATCAAGAGCTTGTTTTCTTGCAAGTTCTCTGTAAATGGTCTGCCTCTGTAGTTCACAGCAAAAGTGTTGATGGTAGCTAGCACTGTCAGCATAAAAGTGCAAGTGTTGAGCACGTTGGGATTGAAAGGGCCATCCGCTACAATGCTTGGGTCGTAGGGATCGACAAAAGCCAGCGCCGCTGAACAAGCCACAATGATGGCAATGAAGTGCACACAGAATTGAAGTGCAATAGACAAGAGAGCGTGCGCACAGAGAACAGATGAAGACGGTCGCTTTGCTGAAAGGGTCTCCAGCGGTTTGGCTCTGGTGACGAAGAAGAACAGGGCCGCAACCACTGTCCCGAGAACGGTGAGCTGCCGATCTCCCTGTTTCACGCCGCGCAGGGACAGCATAGAGAGTACCATCGCATTCACAAGGCAGTTGATACCCAAGATTTTGTAGATTTGGAGCATTGTCACCAGAGTGCACCGTCCCTGTTGTAGCACGTTCTTGCAGCAAACAATCGACACTTGCTTTGATGTGAAGGGACTTGCAATGGAGGCATCCCCCAATTCGACTTGGTCGATCTCTTCTTGTGCCTCTCGAAGCAATCGCAGCGATTCCTCCATCGACCGAGCCCGTCCTGCATTTCCCTTGGTTTTCTTTCCTTTCTTTTGCGCCTTCTTTTCTTTCTTGCTTTCTGCTTTCAGGCGACTAATTGATGCATTGGCTTGTCGTTGCTTTGATTCGGCACCGGGGGCACTGATGATCGAAATTCCCACATGTGCCCGTTTCAAGGAGGGAGTGTCGTTTGTACCGTCGCCGCAATACAGAGTATAGTGACCCGAAAGGTTGAAGGCAGCAACTACTGCCTCCTTTTGGTGTGGAGCGTGCCTCGCAAAGACAGACACAACCTGGACAAGTTCTTTCAAGACCTGCTGTGCTTTGGGATGCAATAGAATGCTCTTCTCGCTCATGCGTGATAAGGACGCGACATTGTCGTTGCCACTGACCTCCCCGTTGACAGCCACATTGGCAACCTTTACTAGCATGTCGCCAGTCAGGCAGAAGGACGCAGATTTGGCCTCGAGCATCTTTTGCAGGTTCTTCCTACCCGCGCTCTCAAAGAATGGACAGAACGAAGAATCGGCCTTGCCCCGCTGCTTTGACATTAGCGGTACAAAACCGAAGCTTGAAAGCGAATTTTTGCTCGAGGTACCATCCTCGTCAGGATTGGGCTGCAACCAATATGTTTCGTGTGCTTCATCGACCTTTGTCGCATGGATGATATCAACTTGTCTTGCTACCTCTGCAGCCGTGAGTACGGCGTCTCCTGTAATCATAACCACTCGATGATCGCTATTCTTGATTTCTGATATCACTGCTTTAGAATCTGGTTTGAGCGGGCAGTCCAGCACAAGAAATCCAGCAAAAGTCAAGCCCCTTTCGAGTCTTTCCCGGCCTTCATCTTTGAGAGCCTTGAAGGAGCGCTCTGTTCCCAACGACCGATACCCCATGGCGAGGACTCGTCGACCCCGACTCATATGATGAGTGTACACGTCCTCGTAGTCGGAAGGAACAGATTCTGGTGAAAGCAACCCCAAGATAGTTTCTGGTGCACCCTTGGTCAGTGCCCAAATATTGTTTTCCTTTCCAGAATATGCAGCATCGGCGGCAGAGTATTCCTGGGTCACCAAAACAGTCATGCGCTTTAGCTGAGAAGAAAATGCAAAGCGATGAAGGATCGTAATCGATTTCGGACGTCCCTCAAGAGGTTGGGTCGGAATCAGTATGTTGCTTCCCACGAGCTGATATCCAGTGTCCTTCAACACGGCTTGTTCCAATGGATCCCCAATGAGTTGCGACGTGACTCCTGCTTTGGTCCGGGCCAGACGTATCGCCAATGAGTGACAGGCCGCCATGACTCGAACGGTTTCCCATGGCAAGTCATCTTCGCCTGGTTTCACGAGCGCCTTTTCCTCGTTCAAGTGCTCCAAGCCGTCTGGTTCAAACAATCGAACCCCCTTGAGACGCATTCGGTCACTAGTCAAAGTACCTGTTTAACAGAATGACAGAGAATATTCAGAAATGTCTGAGGTCAGATCGTCATTTCCTTTGTCATCGAATACAAAAGTGTCAATGCTTGCATCTCTTCCAACACATACCAGTTTTGTCAAAACAGCAAACGTCGACGAGACCAGCCCAGGGGATACGGTAGTGTTCGGTACAGTATACTTGACATCGTCTCATAAGATCCGTGACACTGTTTGTAACTGCCAAACTAAGTTCCATGGGCAATTCCGGCGGTATGACGCTGGTCATGATGATAACGACATGCAGTGTGAGCCGGAATCGATTTCTCGTCTCATCGCCCCATCCATCTTGCAGCACAAGACTGGCACTGGCGACGGCACAGCAGAGCAGCAGAAAGATAAAGACGAACGTATCACTGGAATGCACATTGTCGACAGAATTGGAGGAGTGGGCAATAGTTCTCAACAGGCTTCCCTGCGCTGTTTCAAAGCCTGTTCGCAATACCAACCCCACCACGCCACTGTTGGGTGCCGCAGGAATGTCTTCCTCTTTGTTGGATATTCCATTTTCCTCATCTGTTGTAGCTGTCAACAAAACGGTCCCACCAAAGAGAATGGATTGTTTGTTGGCTTGTGTATCGAGTCTACTTGGTTCGTCGTTGTTATTGTGGTCGGAATCGTCAAAGGGCACTTTGATTTGTGGAATGGATTCTCCTGTGAGAAGTGCTTCGTCGACAACGGCATTGCCTTTTAACAAGAGCAAATCGGCAGGTACCGACTCTTGTTGTTGTGCCGCCCAGGATTGCTGCTCTACCTCTGAGGAAAGACTGACTACATCTCCTGGAAGCAATTCATGAGCCGTCAGCTTCATCCACGGAGATGTCGCATTTTTGTTCTTGGCCGTGAAACCCTTTCGATACACCCATAGTTTGTGGCTGTTGTGGCGACTGGCATTTCGCAATCGTTGCAAACTCTGCAATCGATTGTATGCGACAGTACTTTCAAAGGAGAGGAGGGCCAATAGGGTGAAAATGGCGTAGTACCAATATTCATCCATGCTCCACAGCGCGACACAAAATACCTGGAAAAGAAAGAAGGGTGCCACCACTTGATCTCCCAGTAGTTCTGGAAAAGTCGGCAATTGTAGAAATGTGGCATTTGGTCCGTATAGATGATGAGATTGGAATACCGATTCGACTGTTTGGTGTCCCTTCCATTGTTTGTAGAAGGAGAGTGTCAAATTGACGGGAAATCGTACTCTATGAAAGGCAAGTTTCTTGATTTTCTGGTCATTTTTGCTGCTGGTGCTGTTTGCTTTGGTGGTTGTCCATAACAGAGCGTCCAGGTCTACGGCTGACGTGGGACATCGAAAGGAAATGTCATGAAAGTTGACTACTGCGACTTTGTGTTGTTGCTGTGTGGGTATTGGTTTGATTTCCACAGTGGCAATGCCAGAACTTGCCGACGAATCACCACTTTTACTCTGCTGCTGTTGTTGTTGTTGTTGTGACGACTGAGTAGATTGTCCAGTGGTTTCCTCGACGAGACAATGCGTCCATTTTGTGATGACGGCCTCTTTGTCTTGTGGCTTGTTGCTGCTGACGGCTTGACTTGCCTTGGTGTATCCGACCAGACATCGCGCCGAGACACTCCACTGTTGCATCAGCACCACGGCCAAATGGCACAGCAGTATCGAAAGAAACACCCAGGTAATGGGCTGCAATAAAATATTCGGTGGTTCTTCTTCTTGTTCAAATTGTTGCTGCTGTTGGCAGTCCACATATATCAAAACAGCATAGACCACCAGGAAAGGACCCACATCCAGACGACCAATCAGGGACCGTTGGATCAGTGGAGTCAGAGAGTACCCGTCATTGTGGTCATCTTCATCTTCATTGGCATCTCCTTCTTGGTCCAGCTGATCGTCCTGCTCTTCTAGTAAAAGAGGCTCTGTTTCGGCTCCTTCGTCGTGTTCCCCGCTCGCGGCCTTGCGTCGATGTCGAAGGGTTGTGCTCATGATTAATTACTGCAATGGTGTGAGCAGATAGAGACTACTATTCAAAAGTCAAGATTCCCCTTGAAATCTCAGATCAAGCCAACGAAATAATGACGATTGACTCGACTCGACTCGATCCTTGGAGGGCCGTCTATCCAAAGAAGCCAGCCACACTGTATTTGTACCAAATCCAGTTTAAAGCCTTAGAGCTGTTACCGATACCTGCGGCTTCAAAAGCGATGCGATCCTTCGCTTTCTCAAGAGAAAGCGTAAGAGCCAGAGTTGACATCAATCAATCATGCGCGATGATGACACACGAACGGTAGCATCTCTCGACGAGAAGAAATGAAGGGAGAGGCAATTCCATCCGATTGGTGTCAATCGACGCTGACCCTTTCCGACAAATTGGATTCTCACATCCCACATGGCATCGTCACTCTTTTTTGGCATCCCACAGATCTGACAAAAGACTTCTGCCATTTGGATCCATCCATCGCATCATCCAGTTGATGGGAAGCCGCATAATCTAATCTTGAGAGGTCACACAGTAGCCAGCAGACAGAAAGAAACACAGTTTCATATTATTTTTCCAGTCAATCAAACAGAAAAAGTGACCATGAAGACCCAACCCATGAAGCAAAGCAAGGCAACTCCCAAAATTCCTCGTGGGGTCCGAGGCCTCCCTGTGACCACGGGGGCCACTTCTCCCAGAGAAGAGTTGAACGCCCTCCAACAAGATGTCAACGAGATTGAACGTTGGTGGGCCGATGCTGCCAGATGGAAGCATACCAAGCGTGTCTACTCGGGTACGTGGACAGAAATGTCTGATGTTCTATTGGTTTGGGTATTTTGAATGCAACATTGTTGTGCGAAAGAAACTCGTTTTGGTACCATTATCATGTATTTCTCTAGTGTGCAAAATTTTCTGTCGTCTCACTTCCATGTTGCATTTTGCTTTCATTTTCATTTTTCTTTTACCAGCCAAGGATGTGGCTTGCCTTCGTCCTTCTTTGGATGCTCGTGCCGGAAAACAAATGGCTCCCAACTGCAGTTTTGCTTCGGGACAGTCTGAAAAACTTTACACTTTGTTGAAGAACCTTTATGGAGTTGGTGGGTATTCCCACACCTTTGGAGCCTTGGATCCTGTCCAGGTCACACAAATGGCACCCCATCTCTCATCCATTTATATTTCGGGATGGCAGTGCTCCTCCACGGCGTCTACTACCAACGAACCTGGTCCCGATTTTGCCGACTATCCCATGAACACGGTCCCCAACAAGGTGGATCAGCTTATCCGTGCCCAGATGCATCATGATCGCCGTCAGAACCAGGAACGATCTGGCAAACTCTTGGAAGGCAAGGATCCTGGTAGAAAAGTGGATTATCTGGTCCCCATCGTGGCCGATGGAGATACCGGTCACGGTGGCCTCAGTGCTGTCATGAAGCTTACCAAGCTTTTTATCGAAGCTGGTGCTGCTGGCATTCACTTTGAGGATCAGAAGCCAGGAACCAAAAAATGCGGACACATGGGTGGAAAGGTAAGCTCCACGACGAGATCAAAAACCAGATATTGCTTTCTCTCTCGCTTTTGATATCTAACCACTCTGCGGAAATAGGTCTTGGTCAGTACCCAGGAACATATTGACCGTCTTGTGGCTGCCAGGCTTGCTGCTGATATCCTTGGAGCCAACACGGTAATTGTGGCTCGAACTGATGCCGAGGCGGCGACTCTCTTGGACTCCAACATGGATGGACGCGATCATCCATTCATCCTCGGTGTCACCACACCTGGCATGACTTCGTTGCAAGAAGCAGTCGCCAACGGAGGTGATTCCAAGGCGTGGACTGCCAGGGCCAAGTTGATGACCTTTGGACAAGCTGTCCTGGCCAAGATTGACTCACTTCCGGTGCCATACTCCCAGAAGAAGGGGATGCAAGCTCGCTGGATGGCAGCTGACCCAAATACCCTCAGCAATGCTGCTGCCAGGCGAGTTGCTGACTCTATCTTTGGGCAAAAGAACTCGGTAAGTTTCATGGATTCATGCCTTGTTTTCGGCACCTGTTTGGTTCTGGCCGTCTCACTATTCTTCGATGATCATTATTTATTTTGTCTTATGCAGATCTACTTTGATTGGGAGCTTTGCCGTGTCCGAGAAGGATACTACCAGCTCAGCGCAGGCATTGACTATTGCATTCAGCGTGCTCGGGCCTACGCCCCTTATGCTGATCTTATTTGGATGGAAACGTACGTTTTGGACCCGTGAACGTCGCCAGGTGCCCTGGACTCTTTCCTCACTGTGTTCTTCTTCTATTCAACTTGCAGCAAGATCCCTGGGATCCCTGACGCCAAGAAGTTTGCTGATGGAGTGCACAAGATGCACCCCCATCAGATGCTCGCCTACAATCTGAGTCCAAGTTTCAACTGGGACGCTTCGGGAATGACAGACGCTCAGATTGCCAGGTTCAACGACGACCTTGGACGCCTCGGATATGTCTGGTACGTGAAGAATTTTCTTTGTCGCGCGCTTTGCCTGTTGGTGGTACGATTCCCTTACGCGTCCTTCTTTGTTGTAAATCTCCAGGCAATTCATCACTCTGGCTGGTTTCCACAGCAATGGACTCATCGTCACTGAGCTTGCTCGCGACTTTGGGGATCGTGGAATGATTGCTTTTGTGGAAAACATTCAACGAAAGGAACGTGAACAAGAAGTAGAGCTTCTCACGCATCAAAAGTGGTCTGGTGCAGAACTCGTCGATCAAATGGTCACGGTTGCTTCTGGTGGCGTCTCGTCTACTGCCGCCATGGGTGCAGGTGTCACCGAGGCCCAGTTTTGAGAGGCAAGAAGGTGAAGGATCACCACTCGACGTACCGTAGTTTTGCATAGAGTTGATAGCATGGTTATTCCCCGAGGATAGGTCTAGAATAAACTTTCAAAGACACAGTTGGAAGCCACTGCTGATTTTGGGGTGCAATCGGGTCATAGCTTTCTGTACGGGCCACACGACCACTCGCTGGCTGCACTTTCGTTCTCTAGCTTCGTGACGCAGCAAACTGGACCGCAGAAAGCTACCGGTGCCGGTGGTACCGCAGGGTATTACCTAGCTAGTTAGAGAGTCAAAGTCTACTGACTACATGAACATCGACTGATCTAGTCTTCAAATAGTATATAGCGGCTTCTGGCGTGGACGGCTTATATTTCCCGCTTCTTCACGATCATGTGCAATCCCTTTCTTGTGTGGATAGTGGCACCCGTTCGCATGCCTACGGGGTGATCCAAATGCTGGGGATGATCGTTCACATCTACCTTGCCGTCATGCCTGGATAAGTCAAAGTCGAAATCAAACCTTCGAAGGACCATCGTCAAGGTGACAATCGCTTCCATAATTGCAAACTGGTCACCAACACACTTTCGAGCCCCACCACCAAACGGAAGGTACGCGAAATCAGCCGCAATTTCATTTGGATAGAGCTTTCCTTCCCATTTCTTGGGGTCAAACCCATCCCAGCCTTTGATGTCTGGGTTTGTATAACGCCTAGTGAACCGCATGGGATCAAACTTGTTGGGCTCGGGCCAGAAACGTTCGTCGCGGTGCATTGTGTAGATTCCCATAAAGATGTCCATTCCACGAATTACGGTTGCCTCTCGTCCTCCTCCTTCGGGAAGGTTGTCTTCAGTTCTACAACGGCGAATTAGAAGTGGAGGCTCGGGGTACATACGCAACGTCTCGGCAATCACAAGGCGAGTGTACTCCAGCTTTTCCATATCTTCGTAGGTTGGGACACGGTCGCCGACGACTCTATCAATTTCCTCCCTAACCTTTGCCATCTCTTCTGGATGCTTGGTCAATTCGAACAGAGCCCATGTCAAGACTGCCGCTGTTGTCTCGTGTCCTGCAATCAACATGGTCATTAGGTCGTCTCTCAACTGCTTATTATCAATATCCGCCCCACGCATGTCGACCAGGAACCTTAGCATGGAAGGATCATCCACCTCGGCATAGTTTCTCTTTTCTAGTTCTTCAATGTCTCCCACTTGCCTGGTATTTTTTGCCCGGTTGATGAGGTCGTCGAGGACATCATTGAGGAGTTTCAAATCGGAATTGAACTTGCGTAGACGTGGGACCAACTGATTGGCGAACGGCAGATCCCAGTATGGTGCGGGAGTCATAGAACGATGCTCGGCCTCGACCAAGGCAGAATACACCGCACGGATAACTGGACTTTCATTGGTAACCGATCCAAACTCAAAGTTGAAGACGGAGAGTCCAATGATATCCAATGCCACGGAACAAAAGAATGTTTCCATGTCACACTTGCCATCCTTTTCGGCAACTTTGTTAAGGTTGTCAATCAGGGGCCCATTGCAGTGACCAAAGAGGCCCACCATGTGTTGCAACCAAGCCTGGTGGAACGCCGGGACAATTTGTCGTCGTCGTACAGTCCAGGTTTCTGGATCCGCTGGAATGAGACCCTTGCCCTTTGGTTTAGAAGCAAACCAGGGTGGATGATGTGAGTCTAGAAAAAGGTTCTCCAAAAGATAGTTTTCAGCTCATTTGTCTTCGTACCATGATTGGTTCAAGAATCTCAGCCAAAACACCCTTGTCGTAATTGGAGTTGGCATCTCGGAGCATGTGCTTGGCTTGAACTGGGTCAGAAATGACGAGGAAGGATTTTGGTCCAAAGCAGAGCTTGTAAGGACTACAAAAACAGACCAAACGAAATGAGAAAGTGTGTCAAAAAAGAGGGGGTCATCCAAAATCACAGAATGTTTTCTCACCTGTTGTAGTTTTGTTGGTATCGCTGCAACCCAATAAACATGGTTCCGTCACCAATATCAGTGATTTCTCCCTCTGAAATTCAGACAGCGAAAAGAAAGATAAGATAAATCTACCCTTTCGTACCCGTACCCATCCCAAAGAAGTGATCAAACTTACCGGCAAGGGGGCAGCCATCTAAAGATGGGTAGCCTCCGTAAATTTGCTCAATATTGGTCCTCAAGACGTTGCAAGTGTCGCCAAACTCGACTGGGTCACCTTCTTTTCCCTTCTGCATAACGTCCAGCTTCCACACCAATTCCCACCACCAGGGAAGCCCTTCAGCATCGGGATCCACCTGGGCCAGCTCTTTATTAAGTTCGCCATTGACTGCTTCAGTCTTAGGTTCCTTTGTTTTTGTTTCTTCTTCCGTCGTCGAGAATAAGGCGGTTTTCAAACTGGCAGCCTTGCCCACAGTGGGCATCGGACGACCTGCCGGAACAAATCCATTGGCCACTCCAGCCAAGGTGAGGGAAGAGAGTGCAATTGTGCTGATTCTCATGGTTGCTCTAAAATATCTCGGAAGTCATAAACTGGATGCTTGCTATCTGAAGCCGAGCAATGGACCTATTAGTACAATCCGAAGCATTGAAATGGATCCAAACATCTTCGAAAGGACGAAAGGACCTGTCGATGATCGATGAGTGGACGATTTTGAAGTTGAAGTGCTTTTGCGTCAGTGTCGTCACCCGGATTTGCTAAATAATCCGTCAGAGCTGTCAAAGTCACCTTCCAGTGTCCAATTCAAAATCGATGCTTTGGTTGGTTGGTCAGTAACTGTTGTCCACGTCCGGAGCTACCGTACCGGTACCGGTAGGTTATCTACCGGTAGCTAGCTAGAGTGGCAGGGGCAACTAGCTACCGGTAGCTAGTCCAGGTGTGAGTTGAGTAAAAGTTTTGCATTATTGTTCTAAGAAGCAATGAGATTCTTCAAGTTTGCCGCTGCAATGCCACAAGCAGCATCAGCGCCGTCGATCGCCTTTGACAAAGCCGACATCATGTCGATTGCCTTTCGAGGGGCCTTGCCAGGTCTTGCAACCATCAAAACAGTGCCAGACAGGTCCGACTTTTTGATGCCCAGGCTCGCGACTTGTTCATCTGTCGTCATTAGAGTGAGCGACAAGACTTGCAGGCAGTGGGTGACCGATGCACAAAGTAACTTCCCATCTGGATCTTCGAGCTTCGTCTTGGGATCATACCGCCACTGAACCACGTTGATGAGAGATGACATCAACTGCTTGGTAAAGGCCTCTTCCGATGAGTCCTTTCCTCTTGCTAGCAATAGTATCAATGTCATGTTGTAGATGAGCTGGCCAAGATGTCGTTTGTCGCCCTTTGCAACCGTCAACGTCTTTACGGACTTTGTGAATCTATTCACCACGGACCGTGCAACATCCAACTGTTTGTCGCTTTCGAGAGTACTGAACGTGATCTGCAGCCCGCCAACAGCTGCTCCGTGGATCAGATTGCCATTGACCTCGCCAGCTGTGACAGCACCGCTAGATTTCACATCAGCATTGAGAGCCTCAATAAGAACATCTGCGACCAGGTCAGCATTTAGGGTGCTGTCTTTTGTGGCAAAAGGAGCAAGAGATTTGATCAGCTTGATGGAATCGTAGCGGAGCGACAAACTGATTTCTGTCTTGACCAATGACGAAGAAGCCTTGATGAAGTCATCATTTTCCACGAGTTCCTTTCTAATGGCAGGCACTGAAACAAGTGACGACAAGAAAGACATGGCCGATGCACACAGTGCTGAATCGTCCGCGGTCATTTCGATCTTGTCTGCAGGCACCTCGACTGCATTATATGACGGCGGTGCATCGTCGTCGTCGTCTGATTCAGCTGCTACGGTGGGTGGTGCGGCATCTTCCGCATCCGCATCATCGCCCAATGAACCCACGATTTCAATCGCCCTGGCAGTACATTGTTCACACTCTTCTGCAGCGCCGACCGCTTTTCGGCCCTTCTGCGACACTCCGCACAAGCTCGCAAGCAAGTCGAATGCGGCTCCCTCGATCTGACGTCGAAGAGATACATCTGTTCGCCAGTGCGCAACGTGATCCTTCTTGGAGAAGAGACACATGATGGATTTGAACGTGTCGGCCTCCAACAATAGCGAAAAGTCGTCTTGGCAAGCCTAAAGAAAAGCAAGTACAAGTGTCAGTGGAATCAGCCGGAACGCAAAGGCATACCCAGAACCTGGAAACTCACCTTTTTCAGAACGAGCACAGCCGAGAGTTCGCCCTCGGAGGCAATCTGACTCAATGCATGTAGCCCTCCAATACGGCGTAGGATCTGCAACGCTGCATCATGCTGAGCCACGGCGCAAAGCATTGCCACATCAGGTGCATTCATGATTTCTTCTTCTTCTTCCATCTCGTACTCTTGCAGCTTTGCACGCTCGAGGAACCTAGACAGCACCATGTGGCAAATCTTCTTGCCGAGATTTTTCGCAATTGCTTCTGCCTCTGGAGCTGACAAGACGATTTTGTTACCTCCTTTTGCGTCTCTGACCGTGCAAAGTTCCACCAGACAGCGCATTAAGCCACTGGACAAACGGTTTGATGTCATGTCCTCATCGTCGTCGTCGTCATTGACCACGGCCGCCTCTTCTGTAAGACAGGCAGCAGCCAATGCACCAATCGCAGCACTCCTGGCGTCAAACTTGGTAACTGCATCGGTAAGCAATCCATTCTCTGCGAGCTTGCCAAGAATGGACGCCAAGAACCGCCTGATCTCCGAGATATCAGTTGCCGTTCCAGCGGGTGGATCTAGATTCAGCATATTGAATAGTGCTTGAATCGCTTCCTTGGACTCAACAAAGAGATGCAATACATCATCAGGATCGATTTCGACAACTTGCTTCAGAAGACCAAACGCCACATCCAGCAGAGCTGGATCATCCCAAAGAGTCAACAACACTCTCGGGACGTTGAACTTGACGAAAAGTGCGACGAAGTAAGGGTCCGATCCATCACCGCTAACACCAGCAGCGATTGAGTCTCTCAAGGCTTCCAACAAATGGTGACGAACAAGCGGTCTCGAAATGAGATTGAAATCCTCCATCCGCTGGGGGTCCAGGGGCATGAAAGGTTTGTAGTCGCTGTCGAGGAGACTCAATAAATGAGCGCTGAAGGTCGCTGCAGTTTGGGCGCTTTCCTCGGGGTCTGACTCGGGCTGGGCATCCTTCAACAGAGAAGTCTTCCAAAAAGCATCGCTCCTCTTCGAATCGATGGCACAAGCATACACTGCCACCGAGAAGAAAATGGCAGCGACAGCTTCGTGTGTGTTGGCATATCCACCGCAAGCTTCGCGAACCAACACAAGCGGAGGGCCATACAACTTTGGAATTTCGTAGTGGTCCTGTCCCGTTTCTTCATCCTCGACGGGAAGCTTCATTCCAGTTTTCAGCAGCAGTGTGGAGCACATGGCCCTGACGAAGTTTCTTTCGCTCGCCACGGCATCAAGGAAAGCAATGGCAGCCGGTGACTGTAGAACTGACTGGGTGCTAACATCACTCTCCACGTCCCTCAACACAGCCTGCAGTATATCCAATCCAATGACTGTGATGTTGGCTCGACTGTCGGTTGGTTTCTTGGGCTTTTCAGTGGCTGCGTTTCCAATCGCGTTGCAGATGTCACGGGCAACACCAGTGTCGAGAATTCTCGCCTTTCGACGTGCATTGTCGTTCTTTGTAATGACCTGAAGGACTTCGAGCGCGAGCATGGGGACTTCGTCATCTTCTTCCTGGCTATTCTTTGCCGCCCTGTTCCTCAGGACCTTTCCAAGCGGCTGGGCAAGACCAGATTCCGCAGCAGATACCGCGTGGGAAGGCACCTGAACGAGCTGAAGGAATACGCGAAGAGCAGCACACCGCGTTTCACGCATTCGAGCGCTTGCCCCAGGGCTGTCGCCGGTGCTTTGCAAGTATCGCACCATGGAAGGAAGAGCATCCGTCGAAATAGCGTTCCACAGCGCTGCGTTGTGGCTCAGCGACTCCAGTGCACTGATACATTCAGCCTTGAGTGACTCTTGCGTTTCGATCTGTTCAATGCTGGCGTCGTGTGGTATCGGAAGAGTCATGACATTAGTTGCGATACGGATGGCATCTCGAACTGATTGTAGACCGCCGCTCTCTCCTGAAGCCACGTGCGGGCCGCAGTTCCGAACCAGAGCCAACGCGGCACTAAACTTGTACAAGTCGCCATTCGAGAGAGCACTTCGAAGAATGTCACTGATCGGAACCAAGATCCCGCTGTGTGCCAGCTTGGCATGCTGTGTCTTCACGCCGTTCTGTGCAATGGCAAGAGACAACCGCAACGAGGCAACAACGGTGCCTTCCCCAAACCCGCCTACGAGCATAGTAGGCAATAGCGGTGGCCCGGCTCTGCCACTTCGCACCACAACATCGCATGCAGCGCTGCAAATGTCTCTCCTGCGAGAAACATATTCGTCACTGCGAAGGGCCAAGAAATTCTCCTGCAGCATCCATTAAAAAATCAAGAGAGAAACGGGTCAGAAATTTCACAACTAAAAGACCTTTCGATTCGACCGTTTCCGCGAGTGCACTTACCCCCTTGATCAGAGTACCCTCCCCGCCACCAGGAGCCACCGATGAGCCACACATGGATCCCGTGGCGAGCACAGCAGCCTCAAGCATGTCCATAAGGGCGGTTTGGTAGTGAGCCCCTTGTCCAAGGCTCCCCATAAGAGCCTTCTTTGCCGTCGCGGAAGCCACCTGGAGCGACCCCAACACTGCTTCCACAATGTTGTGTGGCCCTTTCTTGTTGCGGCCAGTGTTGTAATTGTAAGAGTCTGCATCCACCGCGTCCATGAGACGTTTCATGCCGATAGTTGTCTCGTCAGTCAGCGCAATCCCAAAGAGACAACAGAGCAAGCGAAAGCAGGCTGTGGCTGACTTCATTCCACCAACCGCTTTGTCCTTGGAATCCCATTCGACACCCTTCAGCAGCACTTTTGAAAGAAAGGATATGGCTCCCACATCAAGGGCCTCAATCAGCTGGTCCAGCAGCTCATTAGATGCTCCCGATGGATGTTGCCAAGCAAACATGAGCACAGAAGCCACCGTTTCCAAAACTCCCAGGCAACGAGGAGCTGTATCTCCACGGATACTCGAAGGTGACAACATCGAAGCGTCATTGGACGCCAAGAGCAAGGGAGAGACGACCTTACGAGTCTGAAGCTCCATGATTGCTTCGGCGGAACAAGTCGTAAGAGACGCCAGAATGATTCCTGCACATTCTCGCATTCTAGATGCCGGTGTATCTGCAGCAGAACCCAAAGACTGTGCAGCCGTTGACTGAAGAAGCTCGAGAGCTGCATCAATGGTTCCCTCTATAGAATCGCAGAAAAGTGAATTAGCAAGAATGACAAAACAATGCAGGCATTCAAACCAATTATTGTACTCACCCTCGTTGAGCAAAAGAAGAGCCTCCTTCAGTTTGGCTGGAGCTCCTACCATTTCCAGACCTTCCTCGTACTTTCCACCCGCCCATGCTCTTCCTATTTCGCCAACTGCCAATACAACAGCCGCGAGAGTCTCCATAGCGGATTTTTTCAGTTCCACGGGGCGTCTCACGTGCTGACGCACGAGGGAAAGTAAAGCTGGCAAACAGGCACCAGTTGCAATTTCCAACGCTGCCTCCCTGCAGGCACCCATTCCGTCATTGTCCGACCTCCAGTCGTACTGCGATGGCAGGCTGGCAGTTGCCGCTGCTTGACTCAGGAGAGGCCCAACCAAGGAAGCAACAAAATCACAGCCCATACCGGCAACCGCATTATCGGCGGAAATCAAGAGCTGCGACACGGACGAGCCGCAACCGCCCCCGGCAATCAAGGCACGGACAATTTCCCCGTCTTTTGTTTCGGAGCCACCTGGTTGGCCACCAGTCATTTCTGCCAAGGCTGCACGGCTGTTGTCCATGATTCTTGTGCTTGACAGGATGGCCTGACAAGCAGCAACGGCATGGGCTCTTGTATCTGCGTCTTCCGCGCCAATTAGACTACAAAGGATCATGATTCCTCCAGTGGAGACAAGCTGGTCCAAGAAGGAGTTGTATTCCAAGTCATCGGGAGCCTGGCCCGAGGCAACAGCTGCAGCCACTTCATTCACAGCCATTGTCGCGCGCCTTTGATCCTCCAACACCAAGTGATGAATAGTAGAGGTGGACCAACGCTGTAGATTTGGATTTTTGGAAACGGAGCAGTGATCCAGCATATTTCGGAGTGCTCTCGGCAAGTCAATGGACTCCACTCCACCAAACTCTTCGCCTTTGGCAGTCAGCTGTTCGTGCTTCCTCTGCAACGATGCTAGAATTTTGCCCTCGGTCAAGTAGAACATGGCTCTGGCAGCCTGTTCCTGGATGAAAAGTGTTCGTCGGTCGTTTCCAGTCCGTTCGAGCAACTCCATGATGCTTTCGATGGCCCTTTTACCTCCGTGCAAAACGATGGCATGGGTGTAATCCTTTTTTCCCGCAATGCTCTCCAAAGCCAACAAGGAAGCAATGGCCCGAACAGTCCGGTCCGCGGTTTCTCTCGAGTAGAGGTGTTCGATCAATGCCGGAACAAAGACATCCGGAGGAATTGTCACCTTGTCCTCAATGGTGGTGGATGGATTGTTCAACATTTGATCAAAATCCGAAGTCAAGGCACACAAAGCGGCATTGACATTGGACGCGGAAGCCACACCTTCCTCATGAT